ACAGCTCATGTGGAGAATCTTGAAGATGGCTGAGTTAATTAGGGATTTAACCTTGGGACTCTTTGGTCTTTGGGCCCAGCTCTCAAGCAGATAAGATTAAGGATCTGATCTGTGAACTGGATTGCTCCTGTATCTCTCTCACCCCCTTTGAACTGCAATGCTCAGCTGTTCCACACAATGGTGGAGAGAAAAGCGACTGAGTTGCGTAACAGCCAACAGCTTAATGCCATGGATTATCCTGATGCAATGGGATTTAGTACTTTGTTTTATTTAGGAAAGGTTTAGGGTTGTTGGGCCTTTTTTTTTTTTTTTTTAAACAATAGGTTATAAGTTTCTTCCCAGCCAGCAGGGGGCGTGAATGTCACAAGTGTGACTAAGACCATTATAATGCAGTGCTTCAAATGTGATATACCCAGTGATCCTGTGTACATTACAACAACAGCATTGGGTTGGCCTCTCTTGAAGTAAAACCCTAGAAAGGGAGGACAACTCCACGAAGAGTCACATAGGGTATGTCTAAACTACCCCGCTAGTTCGAACTAGCAGGGTAATGTAGGCATACCGCACTTGCAAATGAAGCCCGGGAAATTCAAATCCCGGGCTTCATTTGCATAAGCGGGGGGCCGCCATTTTTAAAACCCCGCTGCTTCGACCCCCGTGTAGCTGCGCTGCACGGGGTTCGAACTAGCGGGGTTTTAAAAATGGCGGCCCCCCGCTTATGCAAATGAAGCCCGGGAAATTCAAATCCCGGGCTTCATTTGCATAAGCGGGGGGCCGCCATTTTTAAAACCCCGCTGCTTCGACCCCCGTGTAGCTGCGCTGCACGGGGTTCGAACTAGCGGGGTTTTAAAAATGGCGGCCCCCCGCTTATGCAAATGAAGCCCGGGAAATTCAAATCCCGGGCTTCATTTGCATAAGCGGGGGGCCGCCATTTTTAAAACCCCGCTGCTTCGACCCCCGTGTAGCTGCGCTGCACGGGGTTCGAACTAGCGGGGTAGTGTAGACATACCCATATAGAGTTCTGTAGGGGAGTGGTCTGCCCTTTTCCCTCACATGAAGCAGGGGTCTGGCTCCTTAAAAGCTACAGATTCATCAGGATTTGCATAGGTTCATGGTCCCTCCCTGCTCCTTATCCTGACCAAGAACCTTTGATAAAGACAGGGGACCCCAAGACCCAGGGTAGGTCTACATTTAGATTTAAGAACTATTTAGAAAAGCAAGTTATACACAAATCCATGGGTCCGGATTTAATGCATCTGAGGGTACTGAGGGAGTGGGCAAATGTCATTGCAGAACCTTTGGCCATTATCTTTGAAAATTCATGCAGATCGAGAGAGGTCCCAGACGATTGAAAAAAGTCAAATGTAGTGCTCCATCTTTAAAAAAGGGAAGAAGGACCATCCAGGAAACTATAGATAGGTCAGCCTTACCTCAGACCTTGGAAAAATCATGGAGGGGATCCTCAAGGAATCCTTTTTGAGGCTCTAGGAAGAGGGGAAAGTGATCAGGAATAGTCAGCCTGGATTCACCCAGGGCAAGTCACGCCTGACCACCCAATTCCATCCCGTTGGGTGGGATGGGGAGACCCATGCACAGAGAGGGCATCTTCTATAGCATAGCTCAGAAAGGGCCACGTGGGAGTCTAAAAAGCATCTAGTTTCCCGAGGCTCTTTGGAAAGCCCTTCTCTCTACAAGTGCACTAGCTCTTTCCTCAGAACCTTGCCATGCAGGTAAAGTGATAATCGCAGAAGTACACTTCTCTGCTAACCCTGTGGGACCTAGATAAAACAGAGGCTAATTATAAAGCATTTGTTATTTAAAAGCCACCCTCAATGAAGTACAACCTTTGCGTAGCTCCCCCACCATTATCCTGCAGATCTTTACAGGAGCCGCCTTCAATTTAAAGCCATTGAGGAAAGAACTGAAATTACACAGATGGCTGTGGCATCTACACAAAACCATCTGGGTTCTTTAGTAATATTCTATTCCTGAATAGCACCTTTGATCCGAGGAGCGGGAAGTAATTGTTCTGTACATGGGACTCTCATTTACTCCAAGGGGAGTTCTGTGCATGGAGCAGCTACCCGTACAAGATTGGGCCTGTTAATTAATTAAGCTGTAGGTTGTATTATACACTTTAGAGCTGAGTATTCTCAGAGGCTATTAAGTAACATGTGCAGGGTCGGAGAAGGTGAAATATGTCCCTGTGTGCTGAGCTCAGGCAGGGCTTTAATGGGATTTAGGAGGTGCACAGAATCTGTTAAAGGTAGCTTGTCCTTCGTCTCCCTGAGTACATCAGGGGCTGCTCTAACCAGTCAACTCTATTTCTCTGCAACTCATACAAAATCATAGCAGGAAAGAGGCAAGAGGAAATAACCTGCAGGCTCAGTGGATGTTTCCTGTACCCTACGAATGTAGCTAGCTACTGCTTTATTGGCTGCAGTTTACATTTGTTTCGTAGGAGGGTTCTACTCTAAGCTAGATAGCCTCTCTAACACAGTTTGGTTCAGTTTGGGTTTGGTTCCACTGGTTGCTTTGGGAGGATTTGAAGCCGTTAGGTTCCTGGAGGCACTCAGGTGGGGTGCTCTAGCAATACTTTTTTAATGATAATCCCACTATCACATGGCAACTCAGCAAAGAAACGAGCTTACGAATTATCCTTTGGGTTGATGGGCACTGAAAAGTGGTATTCACCCCCAGGAAGGAAATCCATCTCAGCCTTTCAATCCTCAGGTTTTAAAGGGACCTAAAATACTGTTCAACTTTTTTTTTTGAATGATCACTGGTGGGCCCCATATTTATTATCTTCCCTCCTTCTCACAGTTTAGTTCATTTGTATTTGAGCCCCTCTCCTTCCTTGCTTTGTATGTTTGAAATTTAGACAGGAGTTTCATAGAATTAGCACTGGAAGGGACCTTGAGAGGTCATCAAGTCCAGTCCCCTGCTCTCAAGGGACCAAGAACCATCTAGGTTATCCCTGACAAATGTCTGTCCAACCTGCCCTTAAAGATCTCCAGAGATGGAGATTCTATAACTGCCTTCAACAGTTTATTCCAGTGTTTGACCACCCTGACAGGCAGGAAGTTTTTCCTAATGTCCAACCTAAACTCCCTTGCTGCCATTTAAACCTATTGCTTCTTGGCCATATGAAGAGAAATTTTAAAAGACTGAGTTTCTTTCGCTTAGAAAAGAGGAGACTAAGGACGGATATGATAGAGGTCTATAAAATCATGACTGGTGTGGAGAAAGTGAATAAGGAAAAGTTATTTACATGTTCCTATAACATAAGAATTAGGGGTCACCAAACGAAATTAATAGGGAGCAGATTTAAAACAAACAAAAGGAAGTTTTTCTTCATGCAGCACACAGACAACCTGTGGAACTCCTTGCCAGAGGATGTTTTGAAGACTAGGACTTTAACAGGGTTCAAAAGAGAACTAGATAAATTCAGATTCATGGAGCTGCTCCACTGCAAGGGAACCAAATATTTGTCAAGTGTAAAAGGACAACATTGAATTAGAAAATGAACTGTTATTATCCAGCTTCTCAGAACTGAGTACAATGGAAACAAACAGAGTCAGGGTAAGTCTATTCTGCATCCAGGAGAGTGTGTCTCAGGTCCTTTATATGTACCTGTGCTAGCTTTATTCTAATGAAAAAATAGGTAATAGCAGGTAGTCTATACTCTAAGGACACATGTACATTGCACCTGTACATGAGTCCCACCTAGTGTAGATGGATCCCCATTAGCCATGCCTGGGCTAGCTCACTAATGATAAGAGTAAGGATGTAATAGCTTGGGCTTTCAGTTGTACAAGCTCACCTTGTACAACTGAACATAATTATTCAGCCTGTAACACTGCATCCTCACTTCTACAGTGAGCAAAGTAGCTGAGATACAGGTTGCATGGGTACGGCTTCTCAAACTGCTAATCATGCCCCTGGCTGAAGTGTAGCTGTATCTTGAGACTATCGAGCCTACCTTCTAGTGCCCGGTTGGCGGAACTCTTTCTTACATCACAAAGCTTGTTCTCACAATTATTGAGTATTGTCCATCTGGTGCTCAGTGCACTCCAGCCAGATATGAAGGCATAGCGCAGACAGTGAGAAGCAGATACTCAGAAGATAGAGACGGAAAAACAGAGAGAGGAGGACAAGAAATAGGTAGACTAGTTAAGTCATGTTCATGGTTTATTTTTTTCAGAGTCGGCATAAATGAGATGCATTCCTCACAATTCCTTTAATAGGCAGCAGGTTTAAAACAAATACAAATAGTATTTCATCATGCAATGCACAGTCAACCTGTGGAACTCCTTGCCAGAGGATGTTGTGAAGACCAGGACTTAAACCGGGTTTAAAAAAGAGCTGGCTACATCCACGGAGGATAGGCCCGTCAGTGGCTATTAGCCAGGATGGGTAGGAATGGTGTCCCTAGCCTCTGTTTGTCAAAAGCTGGGAATAAGTGACTTGATGATTACCTGTTCTGTTGATCTCTCTGGGGAATCTGGCATTGGCCACTGTCAGCAGGCAGGCTAGTAGGCTGGATGGACCCTTGGCCTGAGCCAGCAGGGCCATTCTTATGTTCTTAAACAGCACAGCAGACATGAGTTCAACAGGTGGGAAGATCTGGAGCACAGTGCATATGTTCAGCATGGACATTCCATGTGGAGAGGCCCAGTGGAGGAAAGCACAGAGATAGTTCATTGTGCAGCTGAGACACGGGTGGCCATGTCTGGCGTTACCAGTGGGCTGGTTGCCAGACTCACTAGAAGTACTGAAGGCATGTGGGGACTGAAATGCTTTTCTCCCATCTAGACTGACAAGACATAAGGCACCGAGGGGTGTGGGAGGAAGCTCTCCTTGCTGCTGGATGTTCTGTGGTTAGGGGGCTTCCGTCCAGTCCTTTCCACAAACTGTTGCATTTTCATTTAGAGACACGAGAGGTAACGACCAACAGAATTCATGGCAATGACTTGTTTGCACATTTGTTGTTCTTACAGGCTGCTCCAGTGGCACAGGAACGCCTGGGGTCCAAGTACAGCTGCACAGTGAGTGAAGTTACCGTCATGAACCTGCGGCCCGAGAAAAACCCTATCTTCCTCTTGCCAGATGGAAAGAAGAGGGGTGAGCCCAGAGCCCCTAGTTTTCATCCTCCTCCTCCCAGTGCAGTAGAGACAAAGCCAAGCAAGGGGGAGACAAAACTCTGGGCTGAGAGGCTCACAAAAGAGGGGTCTATTTCTCCCCGTCTACTTCATGCAGGTGACGTAAGCAGCCTGGAGAACTTACCCCTGAAAAGGCCAGTGAAGCTGGCCCCTCTGGAGATCCCCCTGGAAGTAAAAGAAGCCCAGCTCCAGAAGATTATGAGCATCCAGGCAGAAGCCCAGCTGGCTGCTCAGAAGCTGGCCAGTGTCGGCTCCATCAACAGTGAGCCCCATGTGAAAAGGGTCAAAAATCTGGCCCAAGTGGAACTGGAGAACATGCACAAGATAAAGCTGAGTGAGAAGGCTATTCTAGAGTACAGAGATGGGCCCCTCTCACTGAAACCCTTGTGTGAAATCCAAGTGATCTTGCCCACAGAGGCAAGCTCCAAGCCGGATAACAAACCAGCCACTGAAGATGCCCCAGTGACATTCTCTACGCTATTAATCCCCAAAGGCAAGAGCAATGTCCTCCAAGCACCTAGCCCACAGGAGGACACCAAGGTTCCAGATGGCCAGAGCCCCAACCTCGACACTGCCCGGCGCCGCTTTAGACTGAGGCAGATGAAAGAGAAACAGGAGGAGCTTGGAAAAGCCAAGCCTTTAAAAGCCACAAGACTGAGCTCAGAGGAGGTGAAGCAGCAAACCGCAGGTCAACGCACGCAAAAAACCCTCAGCGATGCAAGCAAGCTCCTGGAGAGCATGGCGAAAAAGCACTGGGGGAGAGGCACTGGCCAAGATGAATCAGATGAAATCCTCATTGTTAGGAGACCATCTACCCGAAGGATGGCCTTAGGGGACATCATTCAGGTGGAAGAAGATTGAACACGATGCCCGACTTCATCCCTGATGCTGCTATATGCTTAGTGCAAATCTACAGAGCACCCGAACATTAGATCCAGACGCACTTGTCCAATAAAGGACATTAGTGCTGCATCTTTCAGTAGTCTACCTGCTAATCGGCTAATGCTGCTGTCACATAGAGCAATACTATGAAATAAAAGTAATGTTTTATTATTCACTGATTCTTCCTTGTGCTACAGCGGGCACTAACAGACTAGATGCAGAATCCGTCATGAAGCAGCCGTCTCTTGCAATTAACTGTTTGCCCCTGCGTTCTTCCAAACTTCTCTTATTTGCAGCGGGTTCATTCCTGATTCCCTGGCAAACAGATGAATTCATCAGCCTAGTCTTTGTGCAGGGCTTCCCATCCCCCAAAGTGCCTTGCGAAGAGGGCAGAGCTGAGCTGATGTGCAGCCATTGGTTTGCAGGAGTAACCTCAAGAGTAAAATACCATCTCAGCCAGAGACAGAGCAGAGATGTGGGGATAGGGATAATGGATATAATGCAGAGAGGAAGCCAGTGGAGGGCATGGAGGAAGGTAGTGATGTGAGTGGATCAGGAAGAGCAGAAGCTGGTTTTACCCTCAAAGCTTTAAATATAACGGGGTGAGAAAGACTGGTGAGTAGTGACTGGGAAATCACTGTGCTCTGAGCAAAATTAGGAAGTTGAAAAATTGCCACCCAGCTTGCAGTACACCATACAGTGCCACACTGCCTGAGGTCTCTCCGAGATGCTCTGCCATTGACAGGAGCCAGTGGCAGAGACCAAGACAAAGAACAAATCAAGGTGTGGTTAATAGGTGATGAGCTTTCGTGGGCCAGACCCACTTCCTCAGATCAAATAGTGGAAGAAAAATGTCACAACCATATATACCAAAGGATACAATTAAAAAAATGAACACATATGAAAAGGACAAATCAAATTTCAGAACAGAAGGGGGATGGGGCGGGAGGGGGAGGTAAATGTCTGTGAGCTAATGATATTAGAGGTGATATTTGGGGAAGCTATCTTTGTAATGGGTAAGATAATTAGCGTCTTTATTCAAACTTGAGTGTAAAGTCTCGAATTTAAGCATGAATGACAGTTCAGAGGATTCTCTTTCAAGTGAAGTCTTAACAGGCCTTTGAAGCAGGATGCAGGTAATCAAGTCATTGAGACAATGTCCTTTCTGGTTGAAATGGCAAAAAACTGTTTTTTCTTTGTGATCCTGTCTGATATCTGTTTTGTGGGCATTGATCCTTTGGCAAAGTGTCTGAGACGTTTGTCCAATGTACATAGCGGACGGACACTTTCAGCACATGACAGGATAAATTATATTTCTGGATGTGCAGGAATGTGTGTTCTTGATCTTATAACTCAATTGGTTAGGTCCAATAATGGTATCAGCAGAGTGAATACATAGACAAAGCTGGCAATGGGGTTTGTTGCCAGGGAAGGTTCCAGGGTTGGTATTAGTGTGGTATGTCCTGTGGTTGTTGGCTGTAAGCTGAAGTTAGATAAATTCAGAGTAATACGAGCAAATGTTTAACAGTGAGGGTAGCTAAAGATTGGAACATCTTATCCTGGAACATGCTCTCCCTCACTTGCAGTATTTAAATCAAGAGTGGATACCTTTCTAAAAGATCTGCTCTAGGCCAAACAGATGGTATGGCCTTGACTCAGTTTACCAAGTGAGATTCCTTGTCAGAAGTCAGACGAGATGAGCATAGTGGTCACTTCTGGCTTTCAAATCGATCAATGCGTCTTTTATTTCTTCCAGTTTTTTTTCCTTTTGGGAATATTATGTCATCTGTTTGACTCCTTAGCAAGCAAAATTACCTAATGAAAATTTCCAACATTTTAAAATAACGTGTGTGTGTGTGTGTGTGT